CGAATTACATCAACGTTCAGGAACGGTAAGCGCTCACCTTCCTCTAATTCCATCGTGAATTGAATTTTTTTATCAATTTGGTTTACAAACTTCAGAAACTCTTCCAGTTTTTCTCTTCTATGTGACCAAAGTGCGAAGTAATCATCAAGGTACAAAGTCCTATGCGGGGATAATACTCACTTTACTGTCCCATCACAATTACAGGATAAAGATTGGAATAATGAATGGGATGATCATCCAAAGCCTATGCCTAACGGATGTAGAATTCTAGGACGAGGAGCTGGACGAATTGACGAGAATATTCCTCGGAAATGACTACCAAAACGAAGTGATACAAAGAAACATACGGGCCGAGGAATGTCGATAACAGAATGGGGACTATGAAAGAACAGTTTGTATGATAAAGGATTCTCAGAAGTGGATATGCCTACCTTCCTGCGAACTAGCTCAAAAACTACGGCCAATATTAAGTAAATGGAATATTCAGGTGGCCATAAAAGAGAAATCAACACTTCTCACAAGTCTACAAAGCAACATGAAAGGGAAGACAAATTGGATTGTTCAGGAGTTTACTGTATAGCATGCGGCGCCTGCGAACAGAAATATACTGGCGAAACAGGAAGAAAAATTAGCACACGAATAAGGGAACATCAGATGCTCTGCAGGAAAATGGATACTTAAAGATCAGAATTGGCGGAACACATCGCACAGACTGGACACGAGACAAATTGGAAGGCAGCAGAAATAAGAGTCCCATATGGTTAGAACACAAGAAAGCGGAAGATTAGGTAGGTCATTGACATCGTTCGGGAGAAAAATCTAATGAACAGGAGATTGGAGGAAAGCGATAACTTTACCTACTGTTTAAGCAAACTCGGGGAAAACAGGAATAGAGCAAGACCAGCAAGACTTATCCCTCGAAGTGTTTTAAACATGTAGGCTTTATTTATTATTGAGCTAGAGAAGGCATTCCGATCAGCTCGACAAATTAAAGGTCACTCTGATAGGGTCAACTATAATCACAATATTTTAGACATCTCTAACCATTTCAAAGTTATTTGAAATTTTACATAGGATTTATTTTAAGCCACAAAAACTCACTTGCAAGCAATTTCTTCATCTCCAAGAGCTCCAGATTTGGCGGCAAAATGTAACAAGGTCATGTCGGTAACACCATCTCTGTCGTCAATATTGGCACCTCGTCGCAGAATCTAAAATAATAAAAAATAAAAGGTATAAGATAGATGAATAATAAATGACTAATTTAGTTAAAAAGTGTATTCACTATTGATTGGGTGTAGGAAATTTAAAAAAATTTCGATAATGGCGTAAGTGAAGATTTGGAGACTGGAAATGAGCATCCAGGACAAGAAGACATGAGTGCACTTTGTAATTAATGGACTAAATCTTACAAATGTTTCTGTAGTTTTTGCCAAAATGTACTCACTTCTTCTACAACAGTAGCCAACTGAAGCTGAGCGTGGGGCGTCCATTGGCGCAAAACGGCAAAGAGCTCGGGCACACTGACTCCGGGTGTGACGACGGCTTCCTGGCACTGGTCGCACCACCAAGAGCCGGCAGGATGCGAAGCCTCCCAAGCCAAAGCCGGGTCGTCATCCACTGGAGTGCGGCTTGAAAGATAAGCTAGCTCAATCTCTTCGGCACCATCGTCCTGACCGTTTTTCACAAGATTATGTTCTTCAGGGGCACAGCAAAAGGTTTTGGCAATGTCATGAATACGGCATCTCTAAACAAAATAGAATATGTTCGAAGATAAAATATGTTTGTTGGCTTGAAATATTATATGGATGAAAATTTTGATACAAATAATATAAAGGTAGTCATTTCCGAATAGTTTAAACGAGTAAGAGTAAAGCAAATGAAATAAATATTTCGTATATAAGTAGTTTCGAGAATATCAGTAAATCAGTAATATGAGATGTATTCATTCTATTTCGTTTAAGGTGATGAAGGACTGGTAGTAGAATTTTAACACAATGATACGAGTAGAGCTGACGTTTCAACTAAATTTCACACACCCTTGCTTTCCCAAAAGTTGTACATTATTTTAAACAAGATAGGGTAAATATATCTCATATAAATGATTTACTGGTAGTCTCGAGGCTCTACTTATATACGAATAATAAGTAATGTAGTCGATTGTTATAGCAAAAATACGTTTGATTCATCGACAATCCCACCAAAGAACGTGATATGGGAAAAGGCCTGGCCTTGACTAATATTCACATCTGCCCTGTGACCCAAGGGCACTCGTGACAATGTGGCTGAGTGGCTAACGTGTCAAACTAGCATTCTGTACTGTCACCGTTCGACTCCTGCTGGGGGTGTTGATGAGGCCTTTGCGAGGTCGAAACTGCAATCAAACCTAGATGAGAACAACTTTTGGTAAAGCTAGGCTATGTGAAATTCAATGGAAACGCCAGCTCTACTCATATCATTGTGGAAAAATCCTAATACCAGTCCTTCATCACCTTAAACGAAATAGAGTAAATACATTTAATATAAATGAAATAAAATTTGCTTACTTTGTTTGTCAAATAAGAACAAAAATATGGACCATCATATTCATATTTCAAAACAACGCAACTAAGCCTATCCGAGGTATTACGCGAAGCCTAATAAATGAATAAAGAAAATTTGAGTATGGTTCGAAAGTATCATTAATTCTTAAATAATAACTTAATCATCCCAAGTAGCCCCGTGATGTAATGACTGGTAATGGGGTTTTTACCATAATTAGATTAATAGGCCTTACAATGTCACGAAACAGCCTATTTACATAATGGTAGAAAATCGATTTAGGGTGAATAAGCTCTTATAAAAAGTGTGAAAATGTAAAACGAAGACATAGACCAAAAAGAGGATACTAGCACAAAAATATCGAAAATGGTATAGTGTAGGTAAAGAATTCTTCGAAACCCAGTTTTTCTTCATATAGTGTAGCTAAGCCTATGAGTGAGCTAGCAGGATTGATTGACTTATGTGAGCTAGCAAATGAATTTAAAATAATGTGTATATGCGCTGCATGACGTGAATGGGCGGTTTTTAAATCGAACCTGGCAAACGAAAAGCTAACGATCGTCCGACCCAAAGTGAAAATCAGCGCTCAGCAACTGCCAACGATGCGATTCGACTGATAGAGACTCTGTGCGAAATGAATTGAGAAGTCTTGATTTTATATCTAAATTCCAATGCACTATGCACCATAAAAGGTCATATTTATTCAGGGTGAACTGGGGCATCGTCTTGTCAATATCCTAACCAGAATCCTACCTAAGGTTATAATGCAAAATCAAGCCTTACCTTTAAGTCATCTTAAAAAAAGTCATTATAAGTTCAATAACGTCAATCGAAACTGATATTCATGAAACGATATAGTACTAATGACAAAGAAAAGTTATAAAAAAATATCACCGGGGGATTTATATTCTTCAATTCAACACTTAAATTGGATTCTTTAGACCGAGACATGCAAAGAAGTCCATGATTAAGGGTCATTCAAATTAAAAGTCAAAACAACGGCGTTAAGGGAGGTCAAGTCGAAGATTCACTTAAAGAAATGTGGATGTGTGCACGTCCGGATAAATAAGATACGCAAATGGCTTGGAGCATACACTATAAAACTTGCTAGTATGGGAAGTATACTTAGGTAATATAAGATAGTAGAAATGCCTATCGACTTCCAATAGATAAAATTTCGGTCAAACATATAAATATCGATACCATCAACTCGTATAGGCGAACCATAGGGATAGAATGCCATAATTGATCGCCATAGATAAAGTAAGCATTACAGCTCCTTTAGAAATGTGGAATTCTATGAATATAGGGATGAAATAGCTTTACAATTAACTCTTGGTACAATTTTATTCTAGACATTACTTTTAGGACTAGTGATACTGGTGAATCTCGAGTGTCTTTACAATCGACTTTCCGGAGTATAAAAAAAGATAGCAATAACTAGAGTGGCAAGGTACTATCATTAACGGTATAAAAGGAAGATATTTTCAGACCGGAAAGTCGCTACCTATCTGCCAACAAAGAAAAACGGCACTTGACATCACCCCCTAATGACTTGATATAACCTAGTCAATTGCTATTTTAATGTTTTTCCAGGGGTGCAGCAGACCACACTCACGCCCTAGCAATTAATTTATATGATCCATCATTTTTGTATCAGCTACGAGTCCTAATTAATTGTAATTATCATATTCCTCGCTCTGTTCCGATTAGATAGACGAAGATGATACGGTAACACCCACCTTGCATAGAGGTGCATCGCATGGTGGATGAACAACAGGAAATTCTCGAGTCTGGATACGCTGATATGGATCAACAATGTCTAGATGACCCTCGGCAGCAGTGATACATTCAGTGCGCTGATGAACAAATGAATAGAATAAATGACAGAGTGGAAAAACATAAGGATATGCAAAAGATGTACGTCGTCCGGGTAAATTTAGAAAAGCTTAGAATTAAAGTTAAAAATGTAAATAACCAAAATGTAATACAACAATAAAAGTAAATGCTGAAAAGTAATACTAATATAATAATGCAAAAATATAAGCAACACAAATATCTGTCCAGAAGACTGGATGATTCCCAATATTAATAAAGAGTGAAGTGGCTACAAAGAAGAGTGGATTTACCTCATTCGGCAAACCACAAAGTTAGAAAAAAGAAAGTAAACAATAAAAGCCCTAGAATGTCTAAAGTTGGGTGGCGATAAGAGGAATTTAGACGCCGTGGAACATTTCAGAGCTCAAGACTTCTTCCCTCCTGATGGAGATCTATAGGTAAGGAGATTGGGTTCATGCTGGAAACGGAGAATATGGGAAAAAGGCTATGAGATATTTATATAATATATAAAGCTAATCATTTTTGAGTAGGTTTTCGAGACTGCCAGCAAATCAGATGAGTTGTTTTCACCCTAGTTCGTTTAAGGTAATGAAGGACAAGTAGTTGAATTTTCCCACAATGATATGAGTAAAGCTGACGTTTCCAGTAATTTTCGCATAGACTTGCCTCCACAAAAGATGTCCTCATCCGGGCTGAAATGGACTGCATTTTCGACCTCGCCTAAGTCTCATTAACACCTACAGCGGGAGTCGAACCTTGGCAGCGCAGCGTGTAATCTTGACACGTTAATCCCTACGCCCTATTGCCACGAGTACCTTTGTATCACAGAGAAGATGTGCATTTCACGGAAGGTCAGGCATTTTTCATTATCGCATTCTGTGGTAGAATTTTCGGTGGAGCAAACTTACATTTGCTATAAAAATTGACGACATTTCTTTTTTCGTTTTTGAGTATATATATCTTATAGTCTTTAAAATCTACTCAAAAACGAAAAAGTAATGTCGTCAATTACTATAGCAAATATAGGTTTGCTTTATCACAATCCATTCGCGGAATGTGATAAGGGAAAATACCTGACCTTCCTTAAGATTAACATCTGCCATGTGACTCAAGGACACTCGGAGCACTGTGACGCCGTGGTTAACGTGTCGAGATTACAAGCTGCATTTTCATGGTTCGATTACCGTTGGGGATGAGGATAAGACCTAGGCGAAGTCGAAACTGCAGTCGACTTCAGCCTGGATGAGAACGCCTCTTGTGAAATCAAGTCTATGTGAAAGTGAATAAAAACGTTGGATCTACTCATATCATTGTAGGGAAATTCAACTACCAGTCCTTCAGTACCGTAAGCGAAATAGGGTGAAGACAACTCATATATAAATAAAGGTAAAGCATTCAAAAAGCATATTAAACCACACACGAGAATATCAAGCAGCTGATAAAATGATTCATTACTATATCATTGTACAGGCTACTCCACCTTTAAACCCATTTCAATACTATACTACTGTAGTTAAAATAAGAACTAAACAAATCAAATCCATCTCGTCTAAGATCTGTACACACCCTATTTCGTTAAAGATGAAGGGCTAGTAAATGAATTTGAACAGAAATATAGGAGTTGCCCTCACGTTTTCACTGAATTTAACATTAATTTATAGAAGTTGTTTGACCTTGTTTTCGCAACGTGGTCACATTAGTAGGAAGATTTAGAGGAACGCAACTATTCCGGAGTCCATTGTATACATCATCATTTCCCAAGTCTGACCGTGGACGTGGTACATTTCCAGACGTTTCGCCGGCATCGTAGTCGGCATTGTCAGTGAGTATCGCTATTCTTAGCACCATAGTACAGCTCGTCAAGGAGAGACGTGAAGCCAATCCTTTGACCAAACATGTGCTAAACAGTTCTGGTATCTCCCCTTCTACCCTGGGCTATTCAAATTTCCTATATCCTCCTATCACGCCTTCACTGTTACAATTGTTACCGTGCTTACAATAGTCGTGATTCAAGGCTCATGTTTATGATAAAACACGTCTATTGTTAACCAAATAGCTTTAGTCTTTCCTGTTTTTATCTGTAATATCATATCCATCGCTTCATACGCCCTACTCTCTTGTATGCCAACCCACAAATGTTGTGGTTCTACTTGTTTTGATCAGGCTCATTGAAGACGTCTCCTTTTTGCTTCTGATTGTTTCTTTCTCATCCCCCTGCAATCATTTTTCTAAAATTAAGTATATTACCTTGATCCAGTCGTCTTCTTTTTGCTGATCTTACTGTTGCCTGATCTTCTCCGAGTTTGTTTAGGCAATATGCAAAGTTTTCGCTAATCCTGCCTTCTTCAAGTCTCTTGTTTATTAGATCTCTATCAGTCAGTATTTCGATGGGCTTTAAATCTTGCGTTTTCTTGTATCTTTACCAAATGCAGCCAACCTTTCGGTCGATTCCCTGTCGATTTCCTGCCCCGTTTGTGCAATGTGTTCCACCATTTCGGATCTTTTCGTATCCATGTTCTTGCCGAGTCTTTGATGTTCCTTGATTCGTAGGCCAATTTTTATTCCTGTTTCACCGATATACTTCCGCTCACAGTTGCCGCATTTGATTCGATAAACTCCCGAGCAATCAATTCCGTTCGTATTCTCGTGTTGCTTCGGCAGACTGGTGAAAAGTGTTTTATTCTCCTTTGTTATCACCCAGTAACGGTCGCAATTGTTGGCTCAGTTCTGATGAGGGCAGGCAAAACTACTTTTGGTCGCCCTCCTGATTCCTGATCATATTTTCATAAAATTCAAGTTGAAATTGGCCATTTATAATCTACATTTTTTTCTATAAATTCTTTGAGGTATCCGTTACTAAGGTAAATCCGTGTCAGTTTGTCCAACTCCTCGTCCAAGAACTCAATGTCCGTTAGTCGTAAGCTTCTGATGATCAAACTCCTCAGTATTCCGGTCTTCAGTCTGTAGTTATGATGAGACTGAAAATTAAGGATTATTCTCGCATACGAATTCTTTCTTTATGGTCTCCTCATGAGTGTCCCCTTAAAGGGCATGACTTCAATATCCAGAAAGGGTAGTCGTTCATCCTCTTCCACCTCCATTGAGAATTTAATTTCCTTATCATGTGACTAAAGTGCAGAGTAGTCATCCAAGTATCACATAAACACTCTTGGTTGCAGTGGGGACTTCTCGAATTATCTTTTTAACTTGTCCATGTACACATTTGCCAAAAGAGGTGAAAGTGGAGATCCCATCGGCAGTTTAAATATTTGCTCGTAGATACTGCCGTTAAAGGTAAAATATGTTTTCCATGCTGTCAGGTTGATTAGTTGTGTTAACGATTCTTTCCGTATCCGTTCTGCCTCCAGGATGTAGTCTTCTCGCTCTAATATCTCCAGTAAGGCGTTTACTGCCTTCTCACCTAAGCAATTTATTGTCATGCCGCTTATTTATCAGATCCTGGACCCTATGTGACGTATGGTCGGTCATGCTCTGGAGTTTTTGAAAATC